TTCTGGTCAAACCTGGGTTAGGTAGATAGCAATGTACAATTAACAGGTCAACACTAGAGGAAACAGGAATTCAGTATCACATATTAAAGCAAAATAATATGTAATATATATTTTAGTGGGGGAAAGGGAAAAGTTATTCTCCTAGAAAAAGAGCAAAATCATCATCTTTGCAGAGTTACTTGTAGTATTCTAAGACTTTAAAACCAAACCTTTTCTTTTTGGTTCTGCCTATTCATTTGACAGATCCTTTACATTTTGTTTCTAGTGAAAAAAAAAAGGAAATACTTTGATTCTTTCAAGCCTTAACACCCATATCATGGTCTCCTACCCTTGAAGGAGGTAGATAAGGAACTTATCTACCAAATTTCTTAGCACCAGAATGCACTTCAAAAATTGCAACTGCAGTGGATATTTATAAAGAAATAATTAATGTATTTGGTATATTTATGTTTAAAAAACAAAAAACACACACTAGTTTTTTGTATTAATTCCTGTGTACTCAAACTTGTCTTGCAACCACCCAATTTTCATGAATGTTAAGATCCATCATGTATATAGTCTAATTCTGCAGTGAAAGAATGTGTAATAAAGTTCAGGTGAATCTATCTGTATTTAGCACTCTCTCAGCATCTCCCAAATGCTTTCCCTTATACAGCAAAACCAACCTGTTTATCCCTAGCATCTCTACTGCTTTGGGATCTAGAAGCTACTTAAAGTGTTGCATGCTATCAGGAACAACCACTTGCACCTATGTTCTCCTGGAGTCACAGACCTCCCACAGCACTGTAACAGCAGTATATCAGAATTACAGCAACCATAATGTGTGCACTTTATGTGGACTTGAGCAAAGATGTCAGATACTGTCACAATAGCAGTTCACTCCTGCACTAACAAAAACCACAAAAATTACAAAGAAGCATGAGTAAACATGAAAGCAGACAAGGAAGGAAAACCCACAGCATTGCTCAGTGCCATAACAAAACGAAAGCACTTCAATAGAATGCTAAATACATAAGGACACAAGCAGGACCTTGGCAATACTCTAGTTACCTGATGCAATTTCATGGACACTGATACAAGTGTACAGTATACACTGTTCTGCTAGCACACAGCACTGGTCTAAAAACTCTAGCTTTGACTGTATGCAATTCAGGGCTTATTTACACAAAAGAAAATGCCAGTTTACCTAAAAGTAAAATTTTAAACTAATTTAGTTTAACATAGACTGATGTAAAATTATATGACATGTCATCTGGCCTAGGCAGGTTAATTCAGTTTAGGAGAGGTTAGATTTAAAACTGGAAGAAGTCACTGCAACTTCAAAATAAGATGCCAAATTAAGATTTCAATAATCTCAAGAAATAACTTGCATATGAATACGAATAACCCCTCCATATTACTAGTTGGTTACAACACAGATACAGAAGCAAAGCTCTTCATATGCATTTTCTCAACTACGTAATAGCACTGAACAACAAGAAACAAGATCTGAAATACTTTAGAATGCACAAGCACCTGTATCATATTTTGCTTTCTGACATTAAAATTCAAAATCAAGTTATTTTCCTGCCTTTAAGGCAAATAGCCTAATAATAAAGCTCTTCTCTTCTTGTACACCACTACCCCACTTACATCTATACTTTTGCATAGGAATATTGACTGATGACAAAAGATGGGACTTCTGAAAAAAATCCCTTTTCCTCACAATTACTGAGAAGGTACACATACATGAAAATTTGAAGATCTAGCATAAATTCACATCTCTGAAATATTTTAATAACTAAACCCTATTCGTATATTCCAGATAACAACCACCAAAGCAGGCAGGAGTCAAAATGGAATTTGTTTAGAATACAGATGGACAAACAACCAAAGAGCTGGCTCCAGCCTGCAAAGCAGGCTTTTATCAGGCCACAGGCAATGCCTGCTAGCCAACTGCTAGACAAGCCAAGCCCAGCCCAGCCCACCCATCAGCCAAGTAAACTGCGGATGCTGTTGGGAAAGAAAGTAAACTTAAGTTTCATAGACAGGGTTTACTACAAGGTCAGTGCCAGTGCAGCCCAAATTCAGCTCGCTCTCTTTCAGGGCAGCTCAGCTCAGGAAGCAATACAGCCACTACGGAGGAGTAGAGGGCAGAGACAGGACCTAACTTCAACGAATGCAATGAAACATCAACTCAGATATTTCCAACTACAGTCATCCAACCCGAAGAGTTGGAGTACTGTGCACAGAAGAAACCACTAAGTCGGGCTGGGTGCAGAAGAGTTTATTAACTGAGTCACCACCATCTACTCCAGAATCAGGCTGGCTCATCACTCAGGTAATCCTGCCTCATGCACTCAGTGCTCTGGGAAGGTTTACGGGTGTCACAGCCAGATGTGGTGCTACACTGCAACCAACAGCACCCAGGGCCAGAGATGAAAAAGGAGAACAAGAGTCTGACTGGGCTGACACTGATACAGACTTGACAAGTTCAGCTCTGGGACCTACAACATATGAAGGACATAGAACTGTTCAAGCAAGTCCAGATGAACACCACAAAGATGATTGGGGGGGCTGGGGCACCTCCCTTATGAGGCCAGGCTGAGAGAGTTGGGGGGGTTCAGCCTGGAGAAGAGAAGGCTCCAGGGAGATCTCATAGCAGCCTTCCAGTACTTCAAGGGGGCTCCAGGAAAGGTGGGGAGGGGCTCTTGATCAGGCAGTATAGGGATAGGATGAGGGGTAAACATTTTAAACTGAAAGAGGGGAGATTTGGATTAGATATAAGGAAGAAATTATTCCCTGTGAGGGTGGTAAGGTGCTCGCACAGGTTGCCCAGAGCAGCTGTGGCTGCCCCCTCCCTGGAAGGGTTCAAGGCCAGGTTGGACGGGGCTGGGAGCACCCTGGACTGGGGGAAGGGGGCCCTGCCCGGGGCAGGGGGGTTGGGACTAGGTGATCTTTAAGGTCCTTTCCAACCCAAACCATTCTATGGTTCTACGTCCAGTAAGGCAGAAGGTTCAGAGAGGTGTTTCTGCTCTACACTCCCTCAGCTTCCTGATTCAAGAACCACAGTGAAAGGACATTCAGACCAACTGTGCACAGTGAAAACACATGTCAGTCAGTATACAGTAGTTCCACCAAATTACTGCCATCTTTAGCACAGCAGTAAATTCGGTGTACTGCTTCCAGATTACAGCCATCTCTGGCATCAGTTCAGCCAGGTTTGCAATCTAACTTCATGAACACTGTCAGACCCAACCTAAATCCATATCCCCAGCTCTCCTTCTCACTTAATATAATGCCCTCATTCAATACTCTCTGTCACATTCCTGCAGTTTGCTTGGATATATGGCAGACAACACAGCCTGGGTTGGTCAGCCTGGTCCAACATGTCTTGGAATAATGGTAATTTTGGTACAGAGACTCTCCATTGGCTGAAACCACATAAAAATTAAGACAACTCAGTAAACCAACATCAACATTGAGCAGCTAAGGATTTCTTCAACATCTTTCCTCGTGTTTTCCACAACACCACTATTATCAGTTTCATGCATTGCCTGGGCTAACTCAGCCTCTTATGTTTCCTACTAATGAAAGGCTGATTGCATTGTTTTGCTGCTGATTGCAACTATTGCCTGCACTACCCCTCTGATTATACGCATGGCTGTCAAGCTTCAGGAATTGTCTGACTCACGTTACACTGTTTGACATTATAATGCAATCAAGTTACATTTTCACTAGTTTAAAATCAAATTGTTCCTACTATAGAAAAAAAAAAATCCACACCTAGGTCTGTTATGGCCACAGAAATATATTTCATTTCAGAAATGGCTCTGTGGTCACAGACTGCATCCTTATAATTGGCAGACAGCCTTACAATTTGGTGTACCTTTCCTCTTAGAATAACAGTTGTTGGCTTAGCACTGCCACCTGCAAGAGGAGTTCCGTGAGTAAACATCTCTCTGTTTATATCTTCCTAATTTTATTAATGGTGTGTAGCATCATGTAAACAGTAGCTATTCTACAGTCTTGCCAGTGCCCAACTTGTAAATATCCACAGGTAAGAGTTTCAAAACCACACATGTTCCAGTTGCTACAGGAAAATGTAACATAAGACCTAAGTTTCTGATACACATTCAGACTCCCTTTCTTGACAGCCTTTGGGTTTTAAACTGCTCTAGCAAAAGTGTCTGCAACATAGTAATCACTTCATAAGGCTGTGACAGAGAGCACAGAAGTCCCTTACCTACCTCAACTAGGCAGACTCAACACCGAGTTGTGTCCAGCAAGGGAATATTGAATCTATAGGTGATTAAAACCATTCACAGGAAAAAAAAAAAAAAAAAAGAAAAAAAAAAAAAAAGGAAAGGATCATTCTGCTCAGCAAATAAACAACTGTCTCCATCTAAATCCTTTCTGAACTGCACTATTTGTTGCTTCATTCACATGCCGCAGAACAGTAATTTTTTTATTTGGCCTTTTTTGCTCCAGAGTAAAGTCACCTTCAATTAAGAAAGCTAAAGTCAGGAAAAGGATAAAAGAGGCAAGTACACACTACGGCGTTATAAGGATGCAGGATACCGTTTTAAGCCTTCTAAAGTTTGATCTCGTTTAATTACGTAGAGGTCAAACGAAGCCGGGGGGGTGGGGGTGTCGAGATGCTGCGGGGTGCTGGCGACAAACCGCCTCCCTCAGTGCCGCGGGGCAGAGGCTCCCCGGGCCCGGGGCAGGGCCGCTTCTCCCTCCGGGCCGGGAGCGGGGCTGTGCCGGGGGGCTGCGGCCGCCCGCTCTCCTCCCCGCGCTCCGGCCCCACAGCCCGCCGCCGCCCATAGCGGGCGCACAACGGCGCGTCCCGTTCCCCCGCGGCACCCCCCTCCCACCCACACCCGTCCCCCCGCGGCGGGGAAGGGGGCGCCGGTTCCCTCGGCGGCCGGAAAACCCGGGCGGAGCGGCGGGGCCGCAGCGCGGACAGGGCACAGGCTGCCCCCGCGCGGGGGTAGGGAGGGACGCCGCCGCCTCACCGTAGCTCGTTCCTGGGGCTGCGCGGCGACCCGGTCGCCCGCCGCGGGCGGGCTGTCGTCTCCGTCCGCCATTTTGAGAGCGAGGGGACACGGCCGGCAACACCGCCGCCCTGGGAAGAACCGCCGCCGTCAGCCCGACCGCCGCGCCCGCCCCGCGTCGCGTCGCCTTCACGGCCCTGGCTGCAGCACGCAGGCGCCGCCCCGCCTCCGCGCAGGCTCGGCGGGCTGAGGGGCGGTGGGGGGGGCGGAGGGCGGGAGCCGTCGGCGTTCGGGGGGCGCGGGCGCCTTGGCGTGGCCAGGCCCGCTGAGGAACCCTGTGAGGAGCGTAGGAGGCAGCAGGAGCAGCTGTAGGCATATGCCTTTCTCCACAGTCAAAGCTTTTCCTCCCCCCGACCTTGCTACAGTAGATGATGACTATTCTGGGTACTTTGCATTTGCTACTCTGGCAGAAGATTAGGGTATTGAGGAACTTGGCTGATACGTGACAGACCTGGCCGAAGTGCTGCTGAAAGTTTTCCAGGTGGTTGGAAACCTGTCCAGTTCCACAGCTGCCGGTGTTTGTACCTTTCTAGGGCTGGAGAAATAGCCAACTAGCCATAGCTCTGGACCGTGCATACTAACCACCTATCAAATGCCAGATGTCTCTGTTATGAAGACTGCCTTCTTCCATTGTAGTCTCACTGCTTCAAGGCTCCAGGCAACTTTTCCATGGTCTTCAGTTATCGGAATGGATGTGATAAATTTTACAGGTGATCTTTCAGGTATATCCAATAGATTTTTCTCACTGTACCTGGCCACAGGTAGGCTCGATGTTATTCTGCCTTCAGAACATAGAATCACAAAATGGTTTGGATGGGAAGGGACCTTAAAGATCACGTAGTCCCAGCCCCTGGCCATGTGCAGAGACCCCTTCCCCCAGCCCAGGTTGCTCCCAGCCCCGTCCAACCTGGCCCTGAACCCTTCCAGGGAGGGGGCAGCCACAGCTGCTCTGGGCACCCTGGGCCAGCGCCTCACCACCCACGTAAGGAAGAATTTCTTATATCTAATCTAAATCTACCCTCTTCCAGTTTAAAACCGCTACCCCTCGTCCCATCACTACATGCCCTTCTGATTGTAGCTATTCTGTTGTAGCTACTACTCATCTTCTTTTTAAGAAGTCACTGCAGGCTTATTTACCTTATTGGTACCTGTCACTTAAAATCACCATGTAGATATTGTCACTGAGACAGGTTTAGGCACAAGAGGTAAAAAAAGAGTGAATTTTGCCATTAAATCACTTAATTAAAAGCTTCATCTAGTTTCATCTGTACGTGTTGCAGATCGGTACTCAGTCTTCTGATAGCAGGGCTGACCACTAACCAGCAGCATTTGTACAACAGCCGAGTGTAGGCTGTGATTACCAGAGTCCTCCTCATGTTCTAGCATCAACAGTAGCAATCGTATAATCCAGCTTCCGATGTAGTTGAGCAAGACAAGCAAGGCTGTGATTCCAACAAACACGCTCAAGCAGCAGGAGGACTGCCTGCAGTTCCCTCTAATGTGAGGCAAGTGTCTTGTGTGGACATATCTTTTAGCTGAACTATCATTTTGCTTTACTTTGGGACTTTGAGAAGAAGTTATACTAATGTAAACCAGCTGATTAAACTTAACAAAATAATACAAAAAAGAAAGATTTGGAACATGCTGGGAGACAGCAAAATAAGTGGCAGTGAACCTCCGAAAAAACAAGTTGGCACCACTATCCAGAAATTACACAAAACACCAAGATCTCCATGGATACTGAAGTAATAGAGGAAATAAGAAGAACAAAACAGGAATTCAGATAAATTTTAATGGAGACAAAATGCTGAAGCGTGGCAGTCCTGCTAGAGCTAAAATAAAATGGTAGAGCTCCAGGAAGAAATTGAGCAAACCCTATTTTTCAAAATTACTTCCCAGATTAGCTGGATTGCTGATTGCTAACTGTTGATTTAAAAGCTGTTGTTTGGGATGTTCTTTGTGGGAAGTAGGAAGCAGACAAGCAAGATGGAAAGCAGATGAAAAAAACATAGAAAACATACATTAAGTCCCACAAAAGAGCAGCTAAATTATCAAGAAAGCTGAAAAGGGGCACGATATATTAATGAAGTGTAACTGATCTGAAAAGTGTTTGTCTTGATCAATGCCAAAAATGAAATCCTTGTCCTATGATAAATTATATGAGAAAGGATAATGCAAATTGAGCAATATTGAAGTAGAAACTTCTATCTGAAAAGTTGTTTGAGAATACACTAAATATCGAAGAAAACAGTGATGGAAAGTGACAGCAGCTTTTTCAGCTAAACTCAAGATGGTACCAAAGAAACCTCAACAGTAAATGTGGGCAGCAGTTAGGAAAAACAGCGTTGATAGCAAGGAATAACTTTCCAATTATGAAACTGTACAGTTGCTATAGTAAGGTTTAAAATGGTGTATATGAAAAAAAAATGTTCAAAAGACCATATTAAGACATTAAATATGTCAGGAGCAAAAAAAAAGTCAATTGCCTGGATTTGTGAGCAGGGAGAATTATAGATACTGACGGGTGGGGGGAAAAAAGGAAAAAAAAAAGTGCACGTTTATATGCTGCACTTGGAAGAAAGAAGGGCGAGACACTGATCGCGGCCGCTCCTGACGGCAGGGATGGCCCGAGGCCTTGCAGCACATACTTCTCCCGCCCATCACGGAAACGGCTTAAAGCCCAAGGCAGACCGGGCGTTTCGGCCCGTTTCGTGGTACCCCCGGCCTTCCCAGGCCCGGCGGGCGGCGGGCACGGCGGCCCCGCCGAAAGGGGCGAAGCGCCCGCCTCCTTCCCCTCACAGCCACCGGTCCTCCCAGCTAACCACAGACGAGCGGCAGGGGCGGCCCGACAAGCCCGGGGGGCGGGCCGCGATGCGGAAGTGCCGAAGCCAGCGGCGCGGCGCTGCCCGGCGGCGGGCAGGCGGGAGCCGCGGTGCGCGGTGCCGGCGGGGCGCAGGATGCTGCGGCTGGCCGCCGGGCTGCTGACAGCGGCCTCGGTGGCGCTGGTGCTGGATTGGTACGCGCCTTCCAGAGCGTCGCTGCCGGCTGAGCGCCACCGCCGCCGGTGGGCCCCTCAGCCCGCCCCCGGGGCGGAGGCCGCCGGCCTGCTGTGGGTAGTGCAGGTGAGTGGGGGCTTGGCGGGGCTCCGGCGCGGCGGAGGTCGCTGGGGAGGCGGGGGGGGCGAAGGGGGGGTGAGGAGCTGTGGCACCTTGGCCCGGCAAACGTTCCCCTTCGGCTCGCCCTCAAGGCTGGGTTACGGGTGTTCGGCCACTCTGCTAGACTGCCCAAAACATAAGATGTGCGTGGGGAAGCGGGCAGTTAGAACTCACTTGGTCATTACCGCGCCCTGTATATTGCACCGCTACCCGATATGGTATTAGCTGATATCCCGGTGAGAAATGTAGCCTCTGCCTGTCCCTCTCCCCTCCCAAAACTTAGAAAAGTTGCGTGGCTGAGAAAGGAGTTACACAGGATTTTAGCCACAGAAGGTACTGGGCCAGTCTGAGTGATGTACGTTAGGTTAAACATGCATAGCTTTGTTTCTAGGTTGAACGTAAAATCCAGATTAACCTGGCATAGTCTTGGAAGTCAGCTGTCACAGCTGGGTGCTTCTGGTGCCTCTTTTCTGACTCTTCCTCCCTCCTGAGCATTCCCAAAGCATAGGCTTCAGGAATGTGTAACTAACTGCAAGCTGCTTATGTATTTGCAGGTAGTTGGCAGCTGAGAATCACTGTGCACTTCCTTCTCACAAATAGGCTGCTTTTACTATTTTGCTTTTATTTTCAAACTCAAGGCCACTTTGCCTAAATTTATTAGCTGCAGGCAGTGCTCTTAGCGTGTAAGCCAGCATATTATTAGTCCTTTTGTTCTCTCCACTTGCTATGTAATTTCAAGGTCAGTTTTACCAGTAAGTTTTCATTAAGTGACTTAAGGCTTATCTTCACTGCAGAACAGATTTCAAGATGAGAGAAGTGTTTGAATTAATGCAGATAAAGCCCCTATCTCGATTGGCTATCTTGAAGAGAGTCAACTACAGCAGTATATGGCAGCTGCAGAGCGATGTTGACAAGCAGCATAGGCAGCTCCACGCCACTCTTGCCGTGTTCTCTCTGGTTGTGTTTCTTCAAGTGGAGTTCTCCCAAGGACAGGTCATGGCATTGCTAATTTGAGACTTGGCTTTACTTTCAAGTGATTCTGTTCTCTTTCAGACGTGCCCTTTAACAGCTGCTTTATCATTGACCTAACTTGGAAATTAATGAAGCTCTAAACCCAGTGTTGTCCTTGATGATGTTGTGGGAAACAGGCTTCAGGCTCCCTGGTGACTCCATAGGTCTAGCCCAGGTCACTGGGTAGAGCTCAAGATGATGGGTTCCGCCCCCAGCAGTTCCTGCCTTGTTTTTCCTCCCATCCACAGGACTGTCTTTTCTTAAACTGAACTAAATTGCAATTTTTGTGCTATAAACTTGTATTAGTGGCCCTTTCACCTTTCTCACAGCAGAACTTCCTGGATGCATTCTCCTGTTGCTGTAGGCCTTGTAAATCTCCTTTGTTAATGCCTGCCTTTCCTGAGCCACATCTTTTCTAGATAAGGAACGTGGATGGTGATTTCTTCTCACCCCTTAGCCTCTTCCAACCCATTTTGGTGGAAGTTACTGCCTGTGATGCCATGAGAGGCCAAGTTTCCACATCAGTCAGAGGGAGGGGAAAAAGGAAAGAAATGCAGTAAAGTGGGCTTTTACCTACATTTTGGGAAATTAAATAAGAGCATTGCAAGCTTTTCCCCTTGCCCACTGACTTTGCTTTTATCAAGACATCTTTTGAAGTGAATTAAAAAAAAATAGGAGAAGCTCTTCTCCCAAGATTTTCATATTTTGTGTCTTTTAGTGATGACAGAAACTTAGTCCCAGCTCTCAGAAATCCTGGGATACTATAACTTAGAACTTACAGGAAAAGCTTTTGTAAATTTTAAACTTGTATCATAATAGGGGAAAAATGTGGGATGGTCTTTGTAGAAAATCAGGCTTTCCAACCACTGTCTGCTAAAAGGTTGGTAATGTACATTCTTCATAATTATTGGTAGAATAGGAGTAAGGTTTCTCGTAAGACTTCTTGCTCAAGAATCTGGGCACAGCAACGATAGAGGTTTTTATTTTCTCTGATTGATTGCTGAGATTGATGAATTGCAAATCCACAGGCTGAGGAGAAGCAAAGTCAGATGTTGTACCCTGGAATATGATTAAATTAGGTTTGATGTACTGAGGTAGTTTTGCTGTGCTCTTTAATTCAAACTAGCTTGAATTTATCAAGAAAAATGAAATTAAGGTTATGTCTAAAACTATTTACCTTTTTTGGCACCTAATTCTGATCTAGGCAAAAGTTCCACATAAGCAAATGGGTAATTTTTCCAAGCATAATTGAAAAACTTTCAGGCAATGTTTGCTACATATTCAAATGCCTGAATAAGTAGAAGCTAGGGCATTTTGTCTCCAAGGTATTTTATCTGGATTTTTCAAAAAGGAAAAAGTTTTACAAGAGCCAAGTTTATTAAATTGCATGTAAAAGTTAATGTTTATTTTTCTTAGTTGGTGATATTGTCAAATGGCATTGAGCATGTGCTCACTGTTTTTTGAGCATCAAATACCATTTGTCTAAACTGAGGAGGATAATTTATTAGTTGATTGACTGAAGTAGAATGGAAAGTGGAATAGAAAGGATTCACTCAAGACTTACTTTGGAGAGACCTGAAAAGCCACAATATTAAAAAAACAAAACAAAACAAAAAAACCCCACCAAATTTACTTTTCTTATTCTCCCCGTTCCACCCCGTATGGCTCTTCTGCTGAGAGGACTTTGAGCGGTTTAGAAATGAACAGCATCTTTTACAGTTATTTACAAGTGGTACCATAATTTCTTGGGCTATCTTTACCTTCATGAAGGCACATGGAACAGGATCTAAATGCACTCATTAGCTCCCTTATAATGCACGGGTAGAGTGTTAGAAATCCTTCCACCCAGCTACTGGAAATGTCACACCAGGTATGAAGTTAGCTATCAGTATGTTTCATAGGCAACTTTAACCTATTTTTGCTTTGTAGAACTACTTAGTATTCTCTCTTGCAGTAAGATCACTGTGTTGCACCAGAAGCTCACAGAATTTGAAAGTCAACAGATCACAGAGCCAACAAAACTTACTGTAGATTATTGTATGATCTTATATTTAAGGAAATTTTCTTGATGTAAATGTGATTTTTAGGGGCTAGAGATGCAGTATCATGTGCTTGCTCTGCCTTTGTTCTCCCTTAGTCACCCACTTTTGTTTCTCCTTATATCCCTGATACTGATATGAAACACAATGACTGTTCTTATGTTGCATTCTTACGTACTAGGCTTTGCAGAACAACTTGGGCAACAATGACCCTCTGCATGGGACAGTGTTTCTTTCTTCTCTTTTGCAGGTGTCAGATATTCATATCAGTAGATTTTGGGATCCCAAACGAACTCTTGACTTTGAAAAATTCTGTTCTGAAACAATTGATATAATTCAGCCAGCACTTGTTCTAGCAACAGGTAAGCAATTAAAATGTGTGCATTTCCTGTTGAATGTCCTATCAAAGGAAGAGCAAATAAACCAAATCCATAGAATCATAGAATAGTTTGGGTTGGAAGGAACGTTAGAGATCACCTAGTTCCAACCCCCCTGCCCCGGGCAGGGCCCCCTTCCCCCAGCCCAGGGTGCTCCCAGCCCCGTCCAACCTGGCCTTGGACCCTTCCAGGGAGGGGGCAGCCACAGCTGCTCTGGGCACCCTGGGCCAGTGCCTCACCCCCTGCACAGGGAAGAATTTCTTTATATCTACTACAAATCTATCCTCTTTCAGTTTAAAGCCACTACCCCTCATCCTATCACTACATGCCTTTGTAAAAAGTCCCTCCTGTGTTTTCCTGTAGGCCCCCTTCAAGGGAAGGCTGCTCTAAGGTCTCCCCAGAGCCTACTCTCCTCTAGACTGAGCAACCCCAACTCCCTCAGCCTGTCCTGAGGTACTCCAGCCCACTGATTATTGTGGCCTCCTCTGGACTTGCTCCAACAGGTTCATGTTGTTCTTATGTTGGTGTCCCCAAGCTGGACACAGCAATGCAGGTGGGATCTCATGAGAGCGGAGCGGAGGGGGATAATCCCCTCCCTCAGCCTGCTGGCCACACTCCTCTTGATGCAGCCCAGGACACAGTTGGCTTTCTGTGCTGCAAGCACACATTGATGGCTCATGGTCAGTTTTCCATCCACTAATTCCCCCAAGTCCTTCTCTGCAGGGCTGCTCTCAATCCACTCATGGGCCAGACAGTATTTTTATTTGGGATTGCCCAGACCGATGTGAGGACCTGGCACTTGGCCTTGTTGAACTCCATGAGGTTTGCACAGGCCCACCTCTCCAGCGTGTCCAGGTCCCTGTGGATGGCATCCCTGCCCTCCAGTGTGTCACCGCCCCACACAGCTTGGTGTCATCAGCAAACTGGCTGAGGGTGCACTCGATCCCATGTCCATGTCGCCAACAAAGATGTTAAACAGCACCAGTCCCAATACCATCCCCTGAGGAATGCCACTTGTCGCTGGTCTCCACTCAGACACCAAGCCATTGATTTTTTGAGTGCAACTGTCCAGCCAATTCCTTATCCATCAAGTGATCCATCTGTCAGACCCATGTTTCTCCAGTTTAGAGACAAGGATGTCATGCAGGACGATGTAAACTGCTTTGTGCAAGTCCAAGTAGATGATGTCAGTTGCTCTTCCCTTATCTACCAACACTGTAACCCTGTTGTAGAAGGCCACCAGATTTGACAGGCACGATTTGCCAGTAGTGAAATTCTAGTATCTCAAGAGAGAACTTTAAAGCCTTAAGGTATCTTAAGCAATGGAAATAGCATTGCATCTGAAGACAGACTGCCAGAAGCGGAAGAGAATAACTTCTCGACTCAAGAGGATTAGTTTTTCTTCAATGTCTTGAGTCTGATTGTGAGTTTAGTGTGTATTATACGTAACAAGGGCATAATTATGCAATTTGGCTATTGTTTTCCCAATATTTGTCGCTACTTCTTAGGCCCTGCTAACAGCTACCTTTCTTCTTGTCCTCCTAGTAGTGATTGTACATCATTCATCATATTTGAAATTATAGAAGTGAACAATGTCTCTGATTAGTCATTAAGAGCCAGTTCCTTTCTTAGAACAATCCCTGCTCATTTGTATGAAATTCACCTGTGAACTAAGATTTCATGGCTGGTTTCCATTTGAAAATATCAGACCAAGACAGGTGAAGTAAACCTTGCAATTTCATTTGATAACTTGCTATTGGTGTTGAAATAGATTAAGTTTTGGCAAGAAAATCAAAAAGACTTAGAGCCATTACTACATGCAAGGCTTTAGAATCTTAATGCTTGACCTGGACTTTTGTTTCTCTAGAGTCTTACTTATCTGCTGCTTGCTTTTTAAGTTAAGGAGTTCAGAAATCGTTAGCATTCATCTTTTAACTAGCAGTGCAGGGAGGTATTACTATATGAACAGAAATGGGAATGGTTCGAACTCTAACTGGAGCTTGAGGGGATACAGAAGGTGTGAAGTGAAAGTTCCTATGACTCAAATCTTCAGGTATAATGAATGCATAACAATTTTGTTTACTTTGGCATGGCATTAGTAAGAGTGCTGCAGTGATGTGGTTGATAGATGTTTGAACAGGTTACTACATCTGCATTAGAAGGCATTTACTCTTATAGTAACCTCCTGGAGCAGATGACAGGAAGGTCCAGGTTGCAGACTGGAGGCCTACAGCCACTTAGGTTAGTAGGCTTGGATTGCATGCTTGCCTAGTTCCATCATTTGTGTAAGCTGAGTAGGCCTCTGGTTATATCTCACCCTTGTATGCTTTCAGGTGACCTGACAGATGCCAAGACAAGAGATAGACTGGGATCTGAGCAGATAGAAGTAGAATGGAAAACTTACCAGTCAATCCTGAAGAGATCAAGGGTCATGGAAAAAACCAAGTGGATAGACATCAAAGGGAATCATGGTAAGATGGAAATGAGACATCTCTTTCTTCCCTGTGATTAGAGAGCTGATTTATGCAAGTTAGTACATAGAGGTAAAGTGTTGGTGTGCCATCCAGGTGTCTTCTCTACTGAGAGCACACTTAGTTTACAGGCACTTACTGGTGTTCTAGTACCAGGGAAGTAAGAGTCTTCATTTATTGCCTTTGCCTGGCAAGTGGTAGAACATAGCTTCACATGGTAGTTTCCAGGTCATTGGTTTATATACCCCATCTTTTAATGGAAAAGCAAACTGTAACCTTACCCTACTGAAGAAATGGTTTCAATTTACTTTTCATAGACCTCCCCGGCCCAGGTTTGAGTTAACAAGTATCACGTATTCAGCAACTAAAGGAAATTTGGTTTCTTTTGAATAGAAATAACTCATGGAAGTTAGTACACATTATAGTTGTTGCTACATTCTAAGCATTCAAACACAAGCTAACAACCTTGTAGGCTATATAAGACAGCTGTTACAGGAAGGGCAAAACTAGAAAGCCTAGCACTGGAAAAAAGACAGTGCCTGCTTTGTCATATACAGTCTGTGTATGACATTTTATTCCCATTTCCCTATCAGGCTTCTGTTGCCAGCTTTAATGGAGAGGTGGACCCCAATTGCAGTACAAACCTCAAGTTGCTGTCTGTTTTACATGTGCTATTCTCTGATGCTATTGCTACTTTATTTTCCTTGGATGAGTTAGGTCTTACTTATAGGGAATGTACCCAATGCAAAAAGCTTCTGAAAAGCGTTATGGCTAAAGTGGGGACACATGGTTAGCTTTTAGCCACTAAATGACAGTTTACATTCCCATGACAACTTTATCTCTGAATTGAAACTTAAATAAGAAAACTATTCCTGCTTCTAGGTCAACTGCATCAAGTATTGAATGTCTTCTCTGCACAGTTAGACAGTCTGCTTGTCAATTATGCATTTTTTAAAAAACAGATCTTCAGGGCTTGCTGAGACTACATTAGGAAATAAAATACAGAGATCAATGATAAGTTTGAACTGAAAGTTTCTTTCTCCCTTACAGATTCAACCAACATTCCGCACCTGGATAGCGCTCAGAATTATTACAGGTACATTTATTTACCATATAGATGCTGTTATACTCAAGGTCAAACTCACTAAACAATATTCTGGTTTCAGTTATCACATACATACTTTTTCACTGATTTTTCCTATAGTCCAGGATCATATTTGCTATTCTCTCTGCCTTTTCCAGTGTCAGTTTGTAGAGCAGAATAGATTGAGATAACAGAGAATTATTTGCACAGACTTCTTATCTCTTATCCCTCTGCATTTTGTAATTGAATATATTGTAAATCTGCCCCTGTCTAGGAAATGTTCCGTGTATTATGTGTTCAGTTTCCTCAGAAGAGTTGTGTGACATATTTCTGTAAAATCAGTGTTCCCAAAGAATTCTTTTCCTCCTTAAACTAGATGAAAGAAGAAAAAGAAAGCAAGAGAAACCTTCACTTTTTTTTTAATGTTCTTTCTGTACACCCGAAAGGGCTTTTCACGTCATATGGGTCTAAATTTTATTTGAGCCATTTCTTCACATCTGAGTCCTTTTAGAAAACTGAAAGTATAGAAGCAAGAAGGCAGATGATGAATATGGGTGGACAAATGTTCCTGAGAAATACACTTGATATTTAAATGTGAAGATAGGTGAGGAACATTTCCCCTCTTCAGCTGGTCCTTTTGCTTGTACGTTGTGAAGGTAGCATCAGTTGTAACTTGTGTTTAAGTTCTCAGTTTCCTCTGCCCTTCACATCTGGACACAGTATCTTGTCTCATAATTTTGGTGGTGCATTCAGCTTTGACTCTTTGGAACCGGAGAAGGACTTGGAAATCCAAAATCTACTTTGATTTAGTCTCTTAAGCCGTCCACTTTTCAATAAGAACAGATTAAATATCTGATAGTTCAGTTTGCTTCAGTTCCCTGTGGCCCAGCAAGAGCATATACGTCTTCCCATAAATTCTGTGGGATGGGATCCTACAGCAGCTGCATTTACAGGAGAATGTGGAATTCACATGTGGATTTGCCATGAAGGGATGAATGTATGGTGCTAACAAGGCTTTCGGATGTGCTAGTGCAGTGCACATCCCTGTGTTTTGCCACAGTTGTGGCTACTTGAGAATCTAGTATCTGTCTTCTACTCGTAAGGCTGCTGTCAGAAGTTCTAGGGAGACACGTGGAAAGATGTAGCACCAGTGAGTTTGCCAGATCATCCCTGAATTGTTTGGCCCAGACAAGCTTACTGTGTGGGAGGATGTGTGGATCCCCTGCCTCTAGTCCACACTGAGGATGCACTGATAGCAGAAGGGATTGGAAAGGATTAGGGTGAAATTTCAAAGCAATTTAGCCAATCTAAGAATTTCTAAGTGAAATTCTCTGTCAGGTGAAAAAGCCTTTCCTTATTAATTAACAGTCTCTTGCTAAACAAATGTGTTCTCATAAAAGTTTTTGCTTCATTATAGTCTGTAATCATAGCAAAATAAAGAAAGTGTATTGAGAGTTATCATATGTTCTAAGACTGAAGAAAGGCACTAAGAGGTCTCAAAAGTTATTAAACCTCACTAAAGGCAGAACTATCTCTACAGGGACAATTTTATTAATCTAGTGCGCTAATAAAATATAAAGATTAGGAAGATTTTAGTAGGTATGCCATACTCTAGGAAGAGAGAAGGGAAATGGTGGAATGAAATGGAGACTTGTGGACTTACCCACAGACTGCAGTCCCTTAGGGGTGTACGTGCCCCAAGTGGAGCCTTATCAGAGCCACAGTCTCTCCAGGGTTGCACCTGCTGCGACACAGGCTTATCCACAGCCCCAGTCGCTTTGAGGTGCACCTGCTCCAGCCTGGCCTTCTCCTTGCACCACACAGCCTTCAGGGATGTACCTGCCCCAGCGTAGCCTTGCCCAGAACCTCAGTCCCTTCAGAAGTAAACCTGCTGCAACCTGGCCTTACCCAAGGCTGCAGTCCCTCCAGGGGTGGACCTGCTCTGTCGTGGGCTTATCCACGGCCACAGCACAGACATAACCACGGGCACAGGCACTTCAAGATGTACCTGCTCTGGTGTGGACTTACAACCACAGGCACTTGGGGGGGGTGCTGCTCCCTCGCGCACTCACCCACAGGTCACAGTCCCTTCGGCTCAGGTTCACACTGGAGTTCCAGCCTGTCCAGTGCAGCAGCACCAAAACAGCAGCTGTTCCTGGCCGTCTGCCAGCCCTGGCGCATCGCAACTGCCGTTATCAAAATGATCCCAGGCACGGCAGAGAAAAGTGATAAGCAGCACAGCAGTACCGCGAGCAGCGAAAGCAAAAAACGGCCACTAACATGCACTAGACTCTAATAGACAGTTAAGGCAAATAAGCCCCATGGTAAGCACAGGAGCCTGCCAATTAATAGCTGAAGAGCAAAAACAGCTATAAATTCAATCTAGCACATTCACAATCAAACTTGGTATTATCTCAAACCCCTTGTGCCCCATGTTGAGTGGCAAAAATGACTGTTGTGGTTTAACCCCAGCTGGCAACTAAGCACTGCTCAGCTGCTCATTCATTCTCTGCCCAGGGGGGTGAGGAAGAGAATCGGAAGACTATAAGTGAGAAAACTCGTGGGTTGAGATAAAGACAGTTTAATAGGCAAAGCAAAAGCCACACGTGCAAGGAAAACAAACCGAGGAATTCATTCACCCCTTCCCATGGGCAGGCAGGTTCAGCCGTCCCAGCTCCGTCACATATAATGGTGACTTGGGAAGACAAATGCCATCACTCTGAATGTCCTCACTTTCCTTCTTTTTCCTCAGCTTTTATTGCTGAACACATCATAATGGTGTGGGATATCCCTTGGGACAGCTGGGGCAAGCTGTCCCAGCTGTGTCCCCTCCCAACTCCTCATGCCCCCCAACCTCCTCGCTGGTGGGGTGAGAAGCAGAAAGGGCCTTGACTCTGTGTAAGCGCTGCTCAGCGATAATGAAAACATCCCTGTGTTATCAACACTGTTTTCAGCACAAATCTAAAACGTGGCCCCATGCTAGTTACTGTGAAGAAAATTAACTCTATCCCAGCCAAAACCAGCACATTCTGAAACTGACTTTTAATATATCGGCTTTTATTCTGTTCAAGTCAACCTTTCTGGCGTTTTTATTGTTTATTCTCATTGGTGGAAGAATAGTGTTAAGAACTGCTTTCTGGACGGCTGTGTTCTAACTAAGCTCATTATTTGAATTCAGGGATGTTTTAGCTTCTCCGTATCATGCAAAGACTTTAAAAAAAAAACAAAACCAAAAAACCCAAACACACACACATACACACACATAAAACACCAACCCAAAGACCCTAAACAAAACAAAAAAATTCCCCCCCCCCCCAATTAAACCTAATAAGTTTTAGTTATTCTCAGATTTACTCACAATCATTTTAGTTACAGAATTTAATTCTTAGCTGAGCAATTTAGTAGGTACCATTAATTGGAAAGTTATCTGTTTCTGCCAATGAATGAAATGTGCCATTCCCATCTAACATAAAATATCAAAAGCACTTCAATTTTACAAGCTAGAAAAACTGAAAATATCTGGTTTCCCGTGGAATGAGAGAAAGCAATGTATTCGTTATTACATGTATTTATCATAGCCAGATTATCATAAAACCATGGAGGGAAAAAAAAGGTAGAATTAGTTGACAAGTCTTGTCCTGTTTACAGTTCTCTCAGAATGTTTTAAGATTAATATTCAAGAGCTCAATTAACATCAGGTAATGTGCAAAAGAGCAGCAACTCTTTTTGCCATTTCCTTTTACTCTTTGAGTGAAGAATTCTGATGACATTCCAGAGGTGACAGGAGAACTGGTAAGATTTGCTGTATCAAGAAACAAAAAGAGTAATAAGCAAGAGGAAGTGCTGCCACCTTTGCTATTTATAGGATTTGGTATAGTGTAGTTTCTCTGTTTTGGATCTTTCAGAAAATAACTGAAAAGGTTCAATATTTCTTTGGTTCAAAATCATATTCCATTAGTTAACAGCTGATCATTCCACATCAGAGTAACTTTAGAGATCTCTAACAAAATAGTGGAGACAAGACCTGACGTCCCTGGTATTTCTAGGTAAGCAAGGAAAAATTATTTTTGAAAAATTATTTCAGGTACCAATAATAAACACAAAACAGTATTTTTTTTTTTCCTATGCAGATCTCCTTTAATTAAGAGTGGTGTAAGATCCTGCTGTCCTGTCATCTTGCTTGTTTGTTTTGCATTGTTTATGCCACTGGTCTACCCTTTATCCATAAAGAAGTACCGTGTTGCTCAGAAAAGCATATTTATGCTAACATTTTTTAAAAATCTTTGTGTGATAACCTGCTGCTTGTCTTAACACATGACCCATGTAAAGCATCTTCTTTGAAGTACAGACTTTTCAATGCCATTGATTTTGGAGAAGAGACTTTACTGCAGTAACAAGATGGAGCTACACCTAAAGCAAAATCTTGCATTTATACTCTGCAGATGATTTTTCTTGTTATTTCAAGCTTTCCTAATGGCAATATTTCCATTTTATTTTGGCAGGAAATACTCTGCCTGGCATAAAGATGGATCTTTCCATTATATCCACACCACCTCTTTTGGGAACTATTCGTTCATCTGCGTGGATGCCACACTCAGCCCAGGCCCTAAGAGACCCTATAACTTCTTTGGGATTTTAAACACGGTATTCTATAAGTCTTGGTGTTCCTTTTTGCTACCTGTTTTGCTTCTACAGTGGTTTGTTTGGGGTTTTTGTTTGTTTGGTTTTTTTAAAGAGGAATTGTCGGAAAGATTTGTGTTAATCTAAAAGAGTCTTTATGTTTTTAAGTTATTATGCGTGTGGGACATTTATTTAGAAAAATTAATATGCCACTTAACAGATAGAGTATCTGTGTTTTCTCTCTTAAGAAATAATCCAGTACAGAAATGTCAAATTAGGCATTTTAAGGACACTGTGAGTAGTTTCTTATCATTGAGCTAGACTTGAGCGATGATTTCCTTATATGCTGTAAAGTTTTAAAAAAATAACAAAAACAAAAGCCAAACTTCCAAATTTTCCTTTTTACTTTGTTAGATGCCTTTTTTTTTTTTTTCATTAATACTACAGATGAGAGAGTTGCACTTATTGATGGAATAATGTGAAAGATAATGTTGTAAAGAGATGTGTCATTTATGAAAGTGAGGTTTGATCTTCTGAGACCTTAAAAATTACATGGTATTGCTTTTAAAGAATAACATTAATCTCAGTGTTTAAATCACATGTCATCTTAGATAACATTTTGCTTCCTTTTGATTTTTCTCTGTAGTTTGTTGATATGCTATTGTTTTTGAGATACTCCTCTGAAATGTTGGCAGAGTTACAGTGTTCTGGTAAACAGATGTCATATTTTGGCTGTGATAACGGCCTCAGTGAAAAGTAAAATGCTCCCCCTCTAATGTTGTCTAAAGGAGGCTCGACATTTAATTAAGTATTTGTCAAGCACTTGGTGATTCTTAGGTGAAAGGTGATGTAGGAGTGCCAAGTACTGTTCTCATGGTTTACTGTAATCCATAATGGGTGGAGTAGATTTGCAGACACACTCTCAGGGAGCTAAGGAATGCAGTTGAGTCTAGAGCTCCTGTTTGTGGCTGCAGTAAGTCAAACATTTGCTTGCTAATTACCCAGCAGCAGAGTCCAGAGAGCATCATTCACAGAATTTTGCACAAAACTGAAAGTATAGGTAGGTACCTGTAACTTTTCAGAATTAAACATCTGCCAGGAATTTGAAAAAGATATTAGTGTCAGTGATTTGATTGCATAGCTTAGGTAAAAATATTCTTAAAGCCCTAATTCATAAAGGCAAAGGAAGTATAATTTTACTTAGTAAGCCAGTTACATGAACCCAGAATGGTATACTGAATCCATTCTTTTTGAAAATACTTTTATTTCTGTTTCCTTTATCCATGCCCTTCAGGGTTTCTTTTCAGGTAGGGGGAAAAAAATACATTGGTGGTTCTCTGGGTTACCCTAAAAGATGATCTGCAAAATGGCAAAAGAGTGGATTTGTGTTCTTTTCTAGTTTTAGTTTTCCTGCCTCCTCTGTTAGACTTTGAGATCTTACTGGCATTAGGAGTCTCTCTGGGCAGTGAGTGGTTGATTTAATATTGGAAGTCAAAGAAGTGAAGGAGGGAAATTTTACCTGCTGTGTAAAGTGTTACTTTTGCTTAACTCAGCAATGGCCAAGTAATATTTTCAAGATTCAGCATCATAGTTCATCCAGTTAAATGACTGAAGCATGTGGTGCACAGTTTCTGTGGTCTGTCATGCCTATAAATGGCCATCTAGCAACTCAAGAGATGGTAAGGATAATAATTGTAAGGTAAAGATTTTTGTAAAATCAACTCAAGTGTGTTATCTTTGACTATATAAATAAGCAGGAGAAAGGATAGAAGTACAGTTTACAAAATGTTTCTTTCTGTTGCTCTTTTCCTGTGTTCAGTTGCAAGGAAGGTGTTGAGTGTCTTGTTTGCACTTTCTTTTTCCAGCATTGGACTTTAGGGATACATCTAGTAGTACAGCTTCTTCATGCGCAGGGCCCCGAAACGACAGAGAGTATCCTCTGTAAAAACTAGTTTCTTTCTGCTTTCCTTTTGCTATTCCTTCCAAATAGCCTGAATGTTAAACAGGTTGGTTTGGTTGGTTGTTTGTCTTTCAAACACCTGCCTGTTTCAGAATCAAATGCAAGAGCTATCTTTGATGGCAACAGAAAGTCTGCACAGCAATCATACTCTCTGGTTTGGCCATTTTCCCACCTCAACAATCATCTCCCCAGCCCCAGGAATACGAACATTAATGAGGTAAGATCTTTCTGTTTTCTCCTGTATGTTTTCAGTCTGAAGTACATTTCTTGCCTCTCTTCACATATTTGTCTGTCACTTTTCAGGTTCTCTGCAGGGGTATTTCCTTCCCATGCAAATAATCACAATTCTTACGTTCTTCTATTAGTTCTGCCACAGCCTATTTATGTGGCCATCTACATACAATGGGTGGGCTGATGCCAGCCTTGCACAGTCAGCACCGTGGCGGCACTCTGGAACTGGAATTGGGAGATTGGATGGATAATAGGAGGTAAGAACCCCCTGTGAGCAAATTATTATGTGGAGCCTCCCTGGTTATACTGTTCGAAGAATTTCAAAGAAGCATTAGATCTGCCCAACTAGTTATTGCTGTTAATGCTTTTGAGAAATGCCTCTGTGTGTAAGTTTGGGATTTTTTTCCCTATACCAACAGTGTGCTAATAAATGAAGTAATTTTTTGATTAATTTTTGATATATAGAAATAAAAAGAGGATATCTAAATGTCTGTTTCATGTGTGTTTAGTATTCAAAGTTGATGAATAAATATCACCATGTCAAAATACAAATGCTCTGCACAAGCAGAATTTTAGAGACAAAAATAGTCTACCTGAGAGATGTTACCGTAGCATCATATCAAAAAGCACCCGATTCTACATGGAATGTCTAGTAGTGTGTTAGCTCTTATTCTGCAGTAATCCTAAGAAAGATACTTGTGTGCATACAGGAAGAGAGCACACTGGGGTCTTTGTCCATTACTAGAGTACCTAGCCAGACACTGTAGTAATGTAGATTGTATTTGAATTATTTAACATCATATTCATCTTTCTGATTCATGTGTGAAAAATAGGTCTTGACATTTGGAATTTTGAGTAGTGCTTCAGTGATTTATAATAGAAAGAACCTGATCAGAGGTAACCAGCTGTACAGTTAATACAGCAGAGTTGTATTAATAGTTGATCCTAATATAGGATCAACTACAGAAGCGAATAAAGGAAAAAGTTCTGTTTAGGAACTTGGGAAGCATGGGAATCAGCTGTGCATTCAGCGGTTTGTAGTAATGTCTTTTTCCTTTCATTATAGGTACCGGATCCTTGCGTTTGATCATGACCTCCTTAGCTTTGCAGATCTTAACTTTGAAGAATGGCCTGTAGTTCTCATCACGAATCCCAAATCCTTCCTTTACAGCAGTTCTGCTCATGAACCACTAGTCAGAATTCTTTATTCCACTCATATCAGGTACCCTGTAATTTCTTGATTTCACAATATTTAACTATATTTCAATAGTTGGGGTCTTCCTTGGTTATAACATACATCTATATTTATATGTATATATACAAAGCCTTTTTTTTAAATGCATATGTCCACTGTTCTCAGAATTCACTTTTCTCTGGAAGACTGTTCCTGAGAGCTCACTTTGTATCATATCTGTGAGAAAAGGAGATTATATAGTGGGAAGGGAAGGGAAAGGAAGGGAAGAGAAGAGGAAGGGGCAGGGGAAGGGGAAGGGGAAAGAAAAAATAAAAAGGAAAAATAATAGAAAGAAAAAACAAAAATTAAAATAAAGAAAAAAAGAAGAAGAAGAAAAAAAAAAACAAACCTCCACACCCAACAGAAAAGGACTTTAGAGAGAGAGACTGGCAATTTTTAATGGAGACATCTACAGCTATTTGATTATGTAACTGTGTGCAAGAGGATGCATCCCACCCGTGTTAGCAAATGATTTGATAGCAAGAGTTCTAAGATTATTTCTGCCAGGACCTGAGGATCTTTGCCACTTATTCATCTGTTCCACAGCCCAGTTTTCTGTCCTATTCTTTTGCACAGTACCATACAGAACTTCTGTTTTTAACTGCAGGAAAGAGCTACCATGTTAGCATTATCCTACAGATATTTCAGCATTTTGATTTCTAATTCTCTTGAACTCCTAAGTACAAGGTAGTTTAACCTTTAGGTACTTCAGAAGAAATGACAAATCTGCAAGTCCTGTAACAAACCAGTTTATTTTGCTGTTTATTCACTCCTTAGAATTCTGGCCTTCTCTCCCTCTGTCGTCATTTCTGTCAAAGTCTGTATAGATGGAGTTCACCTGGGGAACGCGCACCAGGTGTCTGGCCCTCTCTATGTTCTGAAGTGGAGCCCCCAGAACTACAGTGAAGGGTTCCATCACCTAGATGTGACTGTCCAGGTAAGGCAGCTGTTGGCACTCTCTGTATTGAATTTTTATGTTGTCATATCTGCTCCAACAGCAGAAACCTTCTGCATCACAGAACTAGGGACAAAATATGTGATAAGAGCCTTCCTTTTATATTTCTCTGATTACAAAACCCAAAGGATTTATTAAACGTAAGAACACTGCTGAGCACTAAAATGTTCATAAAGCACCTGGACAAAAGAAAGGATTCTTATTTTTCGTGAGAAATACAGTAATACATGACAGAGGAGCAAGGAATCGGTCAAAAAATAAGTTATTTTGAGTAACAGGCAACAATTTTAAGGTCGTCTTGAAAAAAAATAATCAGGCTTGATCAAGGAAAATAAGAAGGAGCAACATGTTAGTTCAGAAGGCAAAGGAACTGGATCTGGAAGATTGGCGTGCTGTCTTTGATTATCTGTTCGAATTTCTTTCCATGATTTCTTAAAGGCTGACAGTGAATACGGTTTCTGTTTCCCAGAACATCAGACTTAACTGATATTAGATTACTGGATACAAAATACGTTTTTCAGTGAATGCTTCTGTTCTTGGTACTGTATTTTATTTTTGTACCTTCAAGTGGTCTTCAAAGAACTTGATCAGACTGTTCTAACATTCTGCACCTTTGCACAACAGTAATGGGAAAGTTTGCTTTATCCTGCTTCGTAGAACCCAGCTAGGCATTATTGCTCACAGGACAAAAGCGATACTGGTGGTTTTTTTTTTTTTCTAATGGCCTTTCTGTGCTGCCAGCGTTCTACCTCCTAGCTTCTTACCGATTTCTGTGGTGCTTTACTTGGGAAAGCTGCATTTTATAAGTGGTTTTGGTTTTGTTTTTTTTTTTTTTTTAATGATGATGAAAACATAGGCACAAAAGTTAGTAACATTTGAAAAGGGTTATACAAGTTTGCATAGCAATAGTTTGCTTGCAAATACATGCTTGCTACCAGACAACTGAATGGGGGGTTTTTTAAATTATTTTCCTTTCCTCTCCAGTCATAAATCACTATTACATCTAGTAACTGAATAGTTTTGGGAAAGCAAGGAGGATGAAGCATTAACTTGATTTAGGTACCCAGAGAAAGTAAGAATACTCAATTGCTGTACATTGTTCCTGAGATTGTCCAAATAGTGTCTCAGCTGTAATCACACTAAACATACCGAATCCTTTACTATAAATAAACCATTTTTTATGTACTGAAAGATAAGGTGTCTGTGTTACACATGCAGAAATACCAAACTGTTGAAAAAGTGTAGCACTGTTACCAGTTTCTACCAAGTACACCAGAAAAGAAGTACAAGAAAGCTTCAAAATATTTTAAGATGGGCTATTACCTAGACTTGAGCTTTCATAAAACACGTGGTGGTGGTAGCAATAAATAGTCACTGTTTTCCACAAATTGCTGAATCTCTGACAGGATCTCCTTCATGTGTAGCAGTTCCAGATTATGATCTTACAATCACCAAATCACTCGAAACTACAAAATCGACAGTAAGTAAGCCTTTGTAGGTAGAAGTATTTAATACAGCAGTATGCCAGACATGCACGTGTCACTTGGATCTTTTCAGAAAAGCCACAGTGATAATTATCAGCTTTACCTAGATATTTTGTGCACCACCGGTATCTAATTGCTCTCTTGTTTTGTATCAATCTAGGATGCTTCAGGAAGAACTAGCACACGGGGTCATATATTTGCGATGGAAGAAAACCTCTCTCTGAGATTCAGCTTTTGGCCATCTGTTATTCTTCTCACTGACCACTATGTTCTAGTAAGTACTTTCAACAAAACAGCTGCCATTCCGTGTTGGTTTCCCCAGAGACTGCAGGAGCCATTTTCCTAATTCCTGGTAGACGTGAATGTACTTTGCTTTTTCCAGATATGACTCCACTGGAATTTCACAAATATTTCAAGTTTCCTTTCTCAAGTTGTGCACTTCAAACGTGAATGTGGAGCAGTGGTTCATGCAAACAGTTAACTTTCTGGAATTAGTCACTAATGTCCACTTTTGGGTACAGGTATACAGACATTTTGCAAGCAAGAAATGAAAAGAAGCTACCGGAGGTAGTAGAAAAAGGAAACATTAAATCAAAGACAACCTCCCTGTGATCTGCTGCAATATGTGTACTGGCAACAATGCTGGATAAAATTTCACATCAGCCACTGACATTATAGCTAGCCCTAACAAAGGGGAAGGCAAGATTCCCACTGAATTTAGTGAAGTTCCAGGTCATACCTAGAAGTGTGACAGCTCAGTACGTGCAAAGAAGGCATGTCATAATAGTTTAGGGGCACTTATAGAACAATACAGGCAAGTCCACATGACTGTAGATAGTATCATAATTGGCTCAACGTTATTATATTAGTTTTGTTAATCAGTAACCAATATTCTCCACAATGTCTTGAACTGCAGTTCTGTTCGCTACAGCACTCAGAAAATGTTTTTCATAGGAAGTGTGTTTACAGTCCTTCAATGGATGTGTTTTACAGACCTTTTTTTGAAAGATTCAGGTCTATTGCTTTCAGCGATCCAACTGAATTCAAGTCAGTAAGATGCAAGTCCAATAACTTAGAAGCTCTGAAGTTTCATTTTACTTTTCAGTTCAATGACACCATCAAGCTTTGAATATGTGTTTCAGTTAGAAATCTTCATATCATTCTATCATTGTCCATAAGGCAAGCTCAAGGGCTGGCTCCAGGACTGGCTTAGAGTTAAAACTTTCTTTTCAGGCTCGTGTGCTTTTTGGACTGATTATGCTGATTCAGCTCGCCTTGCTCATTATTTTCAGATACCTCCAAAAGCCCGCACTCAAAGGTATGAACCAATGTTTGCCTGTGGTTTTTAGAGGATCTAGTTTTTCCTAAATTTTTGTTACTATTTATATGTATGCTAACAATGTGTAAGCAACTGAGCTGTTAATCAACACATGCATTTTGCATCTAGTGCTGTGGGGTTTGATTGGGTTCTCAGAAGCTGCTGGTTTGCTTTTATGGGGACCCAGAAAACCTCCAGTATCTAAAACCTTGATCAGATATCTTTGCTTCAACAAAAAAACAATTCATCGATGTCTACAGGGTTAATTATAGTTTTCTCACTGAAGAATCCAATGCATGGGGAAAGGAATGCTTTATTTTGTATTAGTTCTGTATGTGTGCTTATTTCACTACAGCTGGCACAGAATTCTGTCACCTGAGTGGAGAAACAGATTTCCTTCTACAGAAATAATTTTAGTCAATCTTTGCAGAGAACATGAGCGAGCTTGGGTCTTTCTCAAAATAATATTAAGACCAGTTCAGTCATAACTTGAGATTTTTTGTGCTAAATCTGGTAAATGAAAATTAATACTGTTAAGTTTGTGGTGTTTATCCTTTAAACAATTGTTTGAAGCACACTTTACTAATGAGATTTTTCTGGAAGCCACCTCCCTTCCTATTCATGTCAGTGTATGTTCCTTCCTTTATACTCATGATCACGTAGCATCCTGAGGTAACTACAGCTACTGCTTTCATAGAAGAACAGATTTTCAGTTGCCTTTATGGAACTCAGCAGCTAAAATGAACAGAGCTAGCACTCGGTGATCAGCTAGGTCCCTGTAGACCATGACAAATGTTTTACAAATTAGTGAACAAATTTTTTAGAGCTGTTGATTTCCAAAGGTCAGGCTTCCCCTCTGGGAGTTAATGCTTTGTGAGAAGGGCAGCCATGGAATAGGTGAAATTCTAAAAGCTAACTTTTATAGGAAGGCTCTCTCAACCTCAATCTATGAATTGTCTGCCTCAGTTAGAAAATGAATACTGCTTTTTTTTGCTAACATCACACACTTGTCAGAATGCTGCCATTTTAACACCTAGCCTTCATTTTACCTGAGTTGCTATCAGATATCATTAAGGAGATTTAATCAAAGAAAATCCAATTAATCTAGTCCATGCTGACCTGTCTTTTTGGGTTTGCATGATTACTATTTTGAATCTCTTACTTTTCATTTAATATGAACTTTCTCCATGTCTTTCATTCTAGCTAACTTAATTTTCTGGGTATAGAATGGTCGTTCAGTTCTATTTACATATATACAGTAAGTGTACTCGTTCAGAATGGCAGCTGCTTCTGCTGTTTTTAACACAGATTGTTATATTCATCAGTTCCTTACTTTCAGTTATCACAATAATAGAAGAAATGCATTCCCTTGCATTTGTTCTGCAGACAAACCAAATACTATTTTTATATTTCTTATTTAATAGGATGACTAAATACTGTGCAATTTGTTTGAGAAAGACCAGATTTATATATGTGTATGTGTGTGTGTGTGTGTTGCAATCTGAATCAAGTCTATTTTTCTTAAATGTTGTCTGTGTTTAGAAAAGCCAGGATTACTTACTCTGACCTCGTATTCCCTTCATGTCTTCAGTAAAACAAACATCTCCTATTACTCAATTCTGGTTCTGAATTTATACACCATTCTGGGTAAGTAACCTAGAGTAGTAGAGGACATAAATTAGTATTTTTAAACTACACATCAGATCCTGATGAAAAATGAGACTTCCAACATCTTGGAGAATGGGGAAAATCTACTTAAGTTACAAAATCTGTGTGGAACTTGAAAAGGTAACGTCCAAAGAGAGTAAAGGTTTGTTTGTACAGAGTCTAAATTAGAAGCCCTGGAATTAATCAAACACTTAAATTATTAAACTACTCTGAAAGCAAAGTGAGTATTTTTCAATTTAATTTGGTTTCCACTTATTCTTGGAGCAAGATCTAGTTGTACCTTGGTATAAAATGAGTAGATGGCATGTACACTTCACATGATATGTTACTAAGACATCTCGGCTCTGATGCTAACAATTTTAGCTTATTTCTCCTCTGATACATGACTAAAATAGCTACCTTCTTGGCAGTCAGTGTAGTATGCATAACGTAGTGCAGCCTGCCCGGTTTGACTTCTAAGCTGAGCCAAGCCAGAATTGTTTCTGACCATGTCTTTCATACGTCTTACTGTAATTCTGGGAAAAAGCCAGCATTTGAAAGGATCTATCTTATCACTTCTCTCATAAGGAAAATGTTGTATGTGGCATTGAAAATCGTCACAGAGGTGAAACCAACTTAAAAGTATTTTCATTGCATGCCACAAGTCATTGGTGGACCATGATATTTTCCTATCAGGAACATTAATTGGATTGCTGTTTGGTGAAGATGAAAACATAAGACTTATCACTACAGGGAAGCAATAGAGAAGTCGTTTTCCCCAGTTAACCACTTTGTGCTCAGGAATACGAAGGGCCGTGTCTATCTTGTCTTTTCTGATGGTGCTGTATGTCTGGTTTCCTCTCTTTCAGGGCCATGGTTTGTAGGCGAACTGATAGATGGCCACATGGGGGCCTGTTTTTCCTTTGGGGTGCTCGTTGGTGGCTCCTTCTGGCAGGGCAGTCTGACATTTGTGGTTGGGATTTTACAGGTACATATTTATAAAAATTAAGGCTGACAAACTGCTTTCTTCTGGGAATTTTTTTCTGATTTCTTTTTAAATAGTTTTATAAGGAAATGAGTCTTTGAAGGATAAAGATTAGTGGCTATGATTGACTACAACAGCTCTTTCTTAACTTTCTGCAAATTTAAAGGGTAAGAAGGAGGTTGTGCATTATTTTTTCAAACTTCTCTTTTCCTCTATTTGATGTTGCTTTGGACTCCCTGAAGGTCTGGATTAGAGGCCATGCCTACAGATTTACCACACTACATTTTTTTTACTGTTCTTGGCTCTCACACCGGTTGCAGCGATTAAGCCAAAGGAGCTGCGTAGCCAGGGCAGCCCTTGCACACCGAATAACCCTTCAGATCAGTAGGTGTCACTCTCCAAGTACAAGAGTCCAGTTTTCCCAGCAGTCTGACCTGCCTGCCCTCTGGTTTTCCCAGCTGTCATTAGTCTGAAAAAGAGGGTGTAGTTCCCTGGCATTTAAGCCCGACCACGCTAGTGTTGTCTCCTTCATGATCCCTCCCTTAGGCCAGTGCTCACAGTTGTCTGACGCCACAGTGGGCTGGGTCAGAGAGCTAAACTGACTTAAGGACCTTCCTTTTTTTTACTGTGGTAGTATTTTGCCAAGTGTAGCTCCCTGAACCAGGTCCAGGAAAGGTCAGAGGCGTGTCAGTGGCTCCCACTGCAAGGGAGCGGGCAGGAATGCTTGGCCTGGGACCCACACACAGGCAGCCACAACTCTATCAGAGTTTTGGAAGCACATCCTGAGATTCCAGCTCTGGGAACTGTACTCAGCCCTTAGAAGGGAACAGTTTTACATGCTCTTATCCCTCTATGCCCTCAGGCATGTTACCCAGAACACCTGGCTTGCTCATAGTCTTATTTTTCTCTGCTCTTCTTTTCAGATGTTGTTTTTCAACCTGCCATTAATGGCCTATCTCTGCTGGCTGCTGCTGCTGCGGTGCCAGGGTCACAGCTTGCGTTCTCACATGCGGCACGTCCGACGGCCCCTGGCTGTGCCGGTTCACCTGGCAATGGCACTGCTCCTGGCCTGGCAGCTCTACTCCTGCTATTTCCTCCAGCGAACCTACGGCACCTTGGCATTCTTCCTCTCCCCAATGAGAATGTGGCTGGTGGTGCTGACCCCAGCTCTCATCTATAAAACCTGGACACTGAAATCATCTCAGCTCAGAACTTACATAATAGAAATGAAAAACTGTCAGAGCTCCTGAAGCACAGTGTAAGTATTCAAAGTTCTTTGATTTAAAAGCTATTAAGGCACAGCCTGCTGTTTTGTGATGCTGGAATTCCATGCGGCTCAACCATCAGGGGGTAAGATCTGAAGCTGCACCTGCATTGCTAGAGCTGTATTAAATAGTATATGTATAATAATATGTAATATATACTTTTATTGTATTATACATATAAAATATACTGTATAATACATGTTATATAATACAATTATACATTATATATTAATACAGTATGCAGGGAACTGTATAATAATCTCTATTCTAGGGGTTCATGTGATACAGAAGATAGGTATGTCCGTATGGATCACAAATGGAAATATCTGCTCATTACTACTGTGAATGGAAAAATATTTTTAATTCATTAAGTTCTTGATTTTGATAATGCTGGGAAAAATGAGCATAGATCTTAGTAAGCTCCAGGATTTGTACTTAACTTTGCTTTTTATTTCAAGACTTACATACATTTTTACAAGACTAGACCAGGTGTCTTTACGAAGTAATGGTTAGTGCAGAGGTGCTGTGGTGGCCTTCACAGTAAGAGTCCAATGCTTATTCACTTTTTCAGTTCATAATGCAGAAGTGGGCGGTTTACAGGCTGTTAGGTGTGTACGTGTGTATTTGTGTTTAGTGGCCTGTTGCTGGTGTCCTGGGAGTGCTGGCTAATTAGCGTGCTCTCTCTGGGAGGCAGTAGTTAATGTGCTCCACTGCTGAGGTGCCAATTTTCCCACACTTGACCAGTGAAAGGACAGTGAATGATCAGTGGCTCTGGGATCCCCAGCTACAGTCAGAGTTCAGCTTTAGCAAAGCAAAGAACGGAGACAATGTCCTTCAGATGGGAGAGCTGGAAGGAATCATCTGCTCTGATGCCTGTAATGTCTGTAAGCGAGGGGGTCAGGGATGTATTTCTGGGTCTCAGTCAAACACACCAAAGAGTGACCTAGGAAAACTCATTTGTTTGTTTTCAGTTTTTCTAAGTATAAAAATGATAGAACAGTTAGATTTATGAAGGATGCAATGATCCAAAGCCAAGAGAGCTGAGGTGCTTTTATCTGTAAAGCAAGGAGAACACTGGCCTGCTTCACAAGGCTGCTGTGAGTGAAACATTTGGAATACTTTAGGTCATTTTCATGTAACTTATTTATGGCTCCTTGAGAAAAAGGAGGGCTAACTTATTGATGGCACCTTAGAAAAAAACAGCAGTGACTATAATAGAACATACAGAAAAATAAATTGAAATAAAATATTAACTACAACTAAGACTTCTTGTTAATTCTGAAGGTGACAGGTTTCCTATTCCTTCATTCCTGTTCCTCAAGGACTGATGATATAATAGGAAAAAGAGAGTAACAGCTCTCATTTGCATTATTAAATACACTGTGAAGAGAATACAGAATGTCATTTGTTGCTACATAAGTTTGTTTTGCAAAGCTCCTAGAAAATCAAAGGCAGGGCATAAAATTTATTTGTGGGAAACACTACTGAAACATTAATAATAAAACTGGCATTTTGCAATTAAGTTACTTTTATGTGATCAGGGAGCATACAAAGTGGCAATAAAATATTTCGTATCTATACCCTGTGACAAGACACTGTCCTGAAATTATTTTTTTTTTTCTTGTGGTGGTAGGCACTCATTGCTTCTGGCGTATTTCTTTTAAAATAATATGGCACGGCTGTTTTGGGGTAAACACGAGAATACAGAGGGCTTCTGAAGTCAACCCGATCCTTTCCAAGCTCTTCATTAGCAGGGCAAGTCAGAGTGACATGAAGCAAGCAAAGCAAGTGGCAGAGCATGGAACCAGACTGCTGAAGTACTTTACAAACTGCTGGCAGACATTAGTAGGATCTGTAACAAATTGATCTTTCGTAGTACAAATGCTTCTGTTACAGTATTCGGCAGGGTTTGGGGTTTTGGCTTGTTTGTTTTTTTTAAATCTGCATGGAGGAGCTCCTTTAAAATACTTAATTCCCATTTGAAACTACTCTAAAAGGACACTTGAAATTATTATTTGGAAAGAAAAAAAAAATTCTGACAGTGTCTTTCAAATACATTTTGTTCTCTTTTTTTTTTAAATCTCTGATAAAAAGCACATGTAATTTTTCATGCTGCTGTTTGCTTAAGAAGGAATTCTTGTGATCACTGGTCACTTATATCTAAGATGCTGTGAAATGCATAACATAAAGTAGAAAAAAAGAGAAGATTCTTTTATGTGTGTTACCCTCAGTGCTCTGAGGGCTGAGGAAAACTTGCAGAGAGAAGTTCCCAGGGGAATGCCTTTGCCATGCATAATTTCCTATAACTGTCATCAGTGAAGGCCTGTCCAATCCAGTGATCCCAATAAAGAGATCTTGGCATTCAGTGTAATGGAAAATGCAAGGCTGGTGGGGGGAGAAGCACTTTTTCCATGTGCCTTTCCCACTGTCTCTATAGCATACTAAAAAAAAAAAAAAAAAACCCAAACCAAACCAGTTCCAAAAGTTCAAGAGAAAAAGCACCCCTTTCTGGAGCTGGCAAGAGACAGCTGCCTGCAGGGCACCGCAGGCTCACTCAGGGCACCTGGCCCGAGGACACGGAACAGGCTGTTCCAGTTTGAAATGCTCCTTGCATGGGATTGTTACTGCGAAAGCAAGGAGATGGAGGCATTGCTCTGGGACAGGCAGCTCCCTCCCAGCAGGAAAAGCACCGGTAGACGGCATCCTGTCTGCCCCCAGAACCAGGAGAAAGTCCAGCTGTGCTGGCTCCTGCTCCAACTTCTCCCCCTCCGAGCCTGGTCCTTGGCCCTTTGCTTTCCTCTCCCATGTTCCCCTGCCTGGGAGGCAAAGGAAAGCAAGCAGGGGCTGATGAGGCAAGGAAGGCTCCTTCTTGCAGAGGAGCAGGGCCTGAGGAAAGGTCTCAGAGCTACAGAGAAACCCGTCCAAGAGGAGGGTGGAGCAGAGGAGGGTAGACACAGCTCCGTAAAACCTTACTGGCTTCTCTCACCCTGTGCCCTTGGACAGTCTGCTATAACTGCACCTCCCTACTCTTCCATAAACATTGCTTTGCTACTTCATACTTTCGGTTTTCTTTCAGTCCAGCTGACATGTTCAGCCACCCTCATACCAGCACTCCACCCAGAGTAGAATGCTGTAGCAAAACTGAATTTTGCTACCCAAGGCATCTTTCAGTTTGCAAAATTACATGTTCCTGTGGCTAAAAACTCTTGACACAATTCTGTTTCTTTCTGTGCTTTTGCTAAGGAGTTCCCAATTGTGTCTCAAAATATTTTCTTGGTTTGGAGCTTATTCCAGCTCCTGTTACCCTTTCTTATTGCGGGATAATGCCATCTGTCTGTGATCTTCTTTTATCCCCTGGCAGTCTATTTATGAATTGTATAAACATTTCCCACTGTGAAGAGAACCCAGTAAAGAGAAAGGCAGTGCAGCAAGAGAGCAATGTTGTAAACAACAGGGCTAAGTAATCCTCACATCTGCTTCTTCCACAATCAACGCATTAAAATATAAAGAGATGTGGCTATTTGAAAGGCATCTGCCTTCACTCTCTTCACTTTTGTAACAGCAGCTACTATAAACTGCAGTAAGAAACATTTATGTCTGAGCTGGCGAAGCTCCTGTCATGGTATTGCTGACATCTTCCATGAAATCCTGACACTGAACTACAGGGCCCAACACTAAACCACTAACAGGTGCTCCTATGAAAAAGAGCATGTTTTTCTGATTATCAATCAAGGAAGAAGCCAACAAGGACAAGAAACATGACAAACTAAAGGGAAAAAAAAAGGTAAGGAAAAGGGGAAAAAAGTTTTATTACCCTTTGCAACAACAAATGCTTATTTATAAAGATATATATGTAAGTACAGCTGAACTATACCTTACAGTGGTCACACAGCTCCTCTGAATTCCTGCTTGCCCTTGCTTAAGATCTTATCAACTGTCAGTCACTGTCTCGGTAAGGTAAAGCTTCATGGGACAAATGCTGGTGCTTCTGCAGCCAGTGACTGACCATCTACTACATCCAAAGCGCCTTGGATTTTTGTTACCAATTATTTGTCATCCTTTGTTAAATGAGACCTCTCCTATAGCGCAAAATACCTGATCGCTGAAGACTCACACTATTACGATAATTAAGAAATTAAGACAAGGTGAAAAAAGACATATTGATACTTTTTACAACTGTGGGCACTTGTTTAAAGCATTTTCTCTCTTTGATTTTTATTTACTCTTAAGAGGTAGCATGAGCCAGCATTCACAAATAAAGAAATGCTTCTGTGAGAATCCTAAACATTGGGGGTACCAGGATGAGGTTTACTTTAACTGTGCCCATCTTTTTTTTTTTTCCTTTTTTACCCTAAAGCTATTTGACTACGGGTTCTATCAGCATTACTGCCCTGAAGAGCTTAGCTAACTGCAGGAATGCTGCTGCAATCAAGCTGCCTTTATTACAGTAAAGAATCAGCATCTCGGCATGACCTCACTCTGGATCATGCCTCACATCATCAGCTCTTAATAGGCTTATGACTTGTGTGGATTACTAAGAAATTGCTGCAAAAATAATAGTGCTGGGAATTTTGTAATTTTATCATATTTTGTTTCAGATGTGAAAAATAACTTCCTAGAGAACTGTCATTCCTGCAAGGTGTGTCAACTCACAGTGCCCGAGATGAGCTCTCTCTGGAGTAGCTCTTAAGCAAATAGTGTCCAAAAGTACAAAATCTGTACTTTGGACAAACAAATGCAACTCTGGAAACATAAATATATATCACTGAGGCCTTCACCCATAACATATGAAAGGAAAACAACATTTTAACACCTTTTCAGTAGTGATTATCGTTATGATTGCTTTCTTAAATTCATACAACACACACTCACCACAGGTCGTAGCTGAAGTCTCTTTTGAAATACACAGGTATTTCATTAGCTTGCTTTGAATATTACCCTATGGTATACTTTCTTCCAAGCAGACTAGAATAAAACAGAAGAATGGTCCTCAGTTTTGAGAATAAAAGGCATTTTTCTCAGAACAGGTTGTTGAAACTGAAATAAAACTAATAGCTTGGAAGAAGCCAAATATGGGGAAATGCATGTTATAGGACACCAAAATACGTGTGGGAAGAGGTTAGCCTTCAAGGGTGGAAGAAAATAGGGAAACACCATGGTGGCACCATGCCCTGAAAAGCACCACATATATTTACACACAATTAGACAGACACAAAAAACTCCCACAAATTCAGTGGAGGACTTTTTGTTCCTACTTAAAACCAATACTATTTAAACTCAGCAGGAACAGCAATACTAATACTTCCATGTGTAAAAATACTCTTGCATCGATAACAATTTTCAGGAGCAGTAGCAATGGAGCCTCAGGTTAAGACCAGCTTTGCTGTGGGGTGTGGAGTGTTAACAGTTGGTCATATACACGGAGTGGGCTGTTCTCTTTTGCATTTAGATATTTGCTGTAGGAATGCCCTGTAAGGATGAGGACACTTATTCAGAAAGATTAAGTGTGTTACAGTGCATGAAGGCTCATCTGCTGCCTGTCAGAAGTTGAATGCAGAATATTTGGGGTTCATAGGGGGATGGTGATGCTGTTTTAATCTGAATATTCCTATCAGGAATATGCATGGGGGAGCACAGGAGAGGGAAGAAAGAAAAGGGGACAGTGGACACATCAGCATGATCAGCAGAGCCACTGTTTGGAAAGGTTGTGTTTCCATCGGCTCCCTCCCCACTAAATCCAGCTGACATGATAGGAATCCAAGTCTAGAGACAGTGATCACTGCATTTCCTCCTGCCTCTCATTTTAATATACACATGAATTACCAAGCCTTACAAGCCTGCATTGCTTAATTTGACAATTGTGTTACCACCCATAAACAGTCAATATGCAGGAATTCACAGAATTTCACTCACCTGTTTCTTTCTGTCTTCATTTGCCAACTATGATCATACTGATTTTACTGCATAAAAATTTTGGCTTCTGTCCCAGTGTGACACTATTATTAACACTGCGTGAGTTAGTTATGATGATGGTGGATTCACAACCTGACTGAAAGTGAACAGTCACTAGTTTTATAGCTGAAAAACGCATACTGGAAGATTTTAGACCATCTAATGCTATAATGCACGTGTCTTTCTCTACCCCAGTGTTTATGACATCCATCACTGCATGCTTCCTTCTTTCAGGGCCAGCTTCAGCACTAGGAAATGAAAGGACTGTTTTTTTATATTTCTCACAACCATATTGGGTAATTTTGATACTCATCTTACTTTCCACAGCAAGCAAAATGATTTATAATGTCAAACTTCTTGCATAGTGTTTCCTTCCTAGTCCTTGGATTCCATTGGCCTAGGTGGTGACTCATGCAAATCTAGGTAATATGTTCTCTGGACAGTTCAGCAGACCCTGCTGTTGGAAGCCTTTCAAAACCAATCACCTATAAATCAGAATGTGTCATGAACAATCCTATTCTCTACATAAATATGTGTTAATGTCTCTAAATGTACACAGTAATGGAATTCTAAAGTCTTTAAGATAATTACCTGTTCCCTATTCTGTTCCTTGCCTTTGAAGACACACACTTAATCTCA